TTTATAAAAATAGATAAAGCAATGTTATGTCATTTTCAAAAGAATTAAATTCTTTAAAATGTCTTTGTTATACATAATTATATATGCATACAAATAGTGTTGGACAAATAATTTTTGACCAAATACTTAAGAAGGTTTTACTCTATGTAAATGTTTGTATAAAGGTATTCGAATGCTCAAAGAAGCCTATGGCTTTCTATCGACCAAAGTATTCCCCAAATTTGGAGGCAAGAATTCGGCAATCTTTAAAAAAAGAAAATGGCATTGTCTAGAAAAAAGTTGGAGGAGATGTATCGTTTAAAAAGGAAACAATATTTTCCTAAAAGCTTTACTTTTTTATTGCCGATTCAGCGGCCGCCGTGCGCGAGTCGTCAGAGGTGTGCACTACCTGTAGGATGCACGCATTTTGACAGGATATTTGATGCAACCAGTAACATACTAGCCCCACTGTTGTATATTACGTACTTGTTATCAAAACAAAACAATACCCATCATTTTTTTCATGGTGTGTTTTTATATTTAAAAACATTCATATGTATGTAGTTACTTTATACCTAAGTATACATGTATCCCCATATGTTTAGCTTGGCCTCTGTTAGCTTATTTTGAGAACTGGTTGCTGTTGCAGTGAGTTAAAGTCACAATTTTTTTACATGAACCTATACGCACATTCATACTTATTTAATGCACATATGTATGTTTAGCCTGTCCTTAATCCACAAGTCCTCAACCGATGCAATAGTGCAAAATATGTTGCGTCCTATAAAAATATTTTGTTCTGTTGGATTTTTAAATTTTTGTTTACTGATTACTGTTAGTATTTTTTTATTGAAAATAAACGTGATAATTTACTTTTGATCGTTTAAAATATTCATGAAAGAAACATAATGAAAACTTTAATAACATTATCATTCAGTCAGAATGAAAAGAGAAGCCATGTCTGTCTGTCCGTGTACCCGATAACTCGAGCAAAAATTGAGATATCTCAACGAAATTTGGTATGTAGGTTGCCCTTTATCAAAGGTAGGTTGGTCGAAATCGGACTGTACCACGCCCACTTCCCATATAACGGTATTTTCTAAAAATTCAAAACCTGCGATATTTCAGTAAATATTAGATGCCAATTGTTGAAAATTAGTATGTGGAGTAGCATTGTGATAAAAAATAATACTGTTCCTACCCCAAAATGCGCATCAGCGGCATTATTTTTATACCCGAGCGCACTTGTGCACACGGGTATATTAATTTTGTTCACATAACGGTTGTTTGTAACAGCCAAAACGAATCGAGATAGATATAGACAAATGTATACATAAATGCTCAGAATGAATAGAGAAATCGATTAAGCCATGTCTGTCTGTCCGTCCGTCTGTCCGTCTCTCCGTCCGTCCGTGTACACGATAACTCGAGCAAAAATTGAGATATCTCAACGAAATTTGGTATGTAGGTTTCCGTTAATCCAAGGTAGGTTGGTATTGAAAATGGGCGAAATCGGACTGTAACCACGCCCAACTCCCATATAATGGTAATTTCCAGAAATAAGAAAACTGCGATATTTTAGTAACTACTGAAGATAATTCACTCAAAATTGATATTTACAATAATTTTCAGACGAAAAATAAGAATATTATAAATTTTTGGAAAATG